TAACTAGCAGGGGCTTGCTACTCTAGTGCCTTTGTATGAAAAATCTTGGTGAAGAAAGTAAGTTACATAGTAGGCTGCTACTTCGTCGATGAAGCTCTAGGCTGCTACTTCGAAAAAGAACACAAAGGAAACAACAAAGTTTTAAATTTTAATACACTCTTTTGAAGTTTTGAAAGTATTTGTAATCAAAGACCTTCTACTATATTTTTTCTATTTTGTAATTTTTTTTAAAATTTTAACCAAAAAGTAGAAAAACTGGCATACCCCTTCTAAAAGATCAGCAGTGTTTACTTCTTCTAAATTAGGACTATCTACTGAAATAGAACCTCCCATGAGTAGCATAGTGGGCTTTTGTTATGGTTGGCTAATCTTTGTAGATCATCTCATGATATTATAAAAATTTTATTAGTTAATTGAAATTTTAAACTTTTAACTAAATTGTTATGAATAAAAAAAATAATATGTACAAAAATAATTATATCTATGACTAAATTAATACTAGTAGAAGTCTTTAATGTGAAATATTGATAAATTCAAATCTAAAATCATACTGCTATTGTAAACAAAAATTAACAAACCAAGTTTTATTAAAGAGTCCTAGCATACTATAGTATAAATTAAAAAAGAAAAAAAAAAAGAGAAATAAAAAAAATAAAACAAACAAAAAATATATTAAATACTCTAGATACATGTTGCCGGGACCAGTACTTTGACCTGCATTTAAAGAGAACCTGCAATTAGAAAAAAATTAAAATTGTTAAAAATTTTGTAAAAAATTATAAAATCTTTAAAAATCAATAACTTTGATCTACTGAACCAATTTGGATGAGTTAACTACCAAAATAATTTTCTCATGGAAGTAATTCCAATGAAGTTAAAATCAGCCAGTTTTTATTATAATCCTGAGGTCGTTAATATATTGTATTATATTTACTATAGTAAATATAATACAAAAATTAACGATCTCAGAATCATATAATCAGAACTGGCTGATTTTAGCTTCATTGGAATCACCTCTATGAGAGGATCATTTTGGTAGTTAACTTAGTGATTGGACCCGGGTAGGTGCCACCCAGCTTACCTGCAGGTGGACAGGTGACCTGGGTGGAGTTTTGGCCACCCAGGTGAAAACTAGTAGGTCACCCAACAGGTGACCTATGATCTTTTGCGCAAAACTTCAATTCAAATATGCATTTGTATATATATTAATTGCTTTTTTTTTTTAAAAAAAATAACTTTTCAAAAATGATTCGAGGTAAATTTTTAAACATTACTATACAAACCATCTTTTTTTATTCAAAAATTTACTATTGATAAAGGACGTTCAAGAATTACTTTTGTATTTTTTATGTATCAAGTATAATAAATAATGAATTCTTAGTAAATTTCTGCCCAATCTAAAAAAAATTTATTTTTGATGCTAGACTTTTAAAACAAACTATATATCAAAGATATAACTATAACATAAAAATATATTTGTATATACAAGTATGCATAATAGCGGGACATCTATTTTTATCTGGGTGACTTATAAGTTCACCCAATGGGTTGCTTTTTTAACCTACTCAGTTTCTACCCAGGTGGCTCATAGATCCACCTGCGGGTGACTCGGGTGGCATTTTTTTTGACGAGTCCAATCACTAAGTTAACTTATCCAAATTGGTTCAGTGGATTAAAAGTTATTGATTTTTAAAAATTTTATATATTAATAGTTTCTATTATAATTAAAAAAATAAAATATATAAATTTTAATTGTTTTGTTATCTAAATAAATATTTTCAAATTTGATTGGCTAATATATTAAAATGCATTTAGAAAAAATATTTATATATATATAATTTAAAAAATAACTGTGCTTAGAGGATATAGAACATGCACTTATTTTATAAGTCTCAACTTGGGACCAGACTATTTTTCTGCAAATAGAGAGAACCTGCACTTAGAGGGCATGTACTTAGAGGAAGTTGACTATATTTAAATTTTCAAATCTATTCTAAAATAGTATGTAATAATAAATAATAATAATAATAATAAATAGAAATAATTTTTAATGCTCGCTCTAATATCAAACTGATCTTTATTTTTATTTTAATACTTATTATACAGTTATGGCACTAATACTTCACTTTAATTCTTAAGAAATCTATAAGTCTTATGTCTCTCAACTACATATTATTAATCTACAATATAGTCATGTTTTATTGTTAGTTGGAATTACAAAGAATAAGTTCTTACAACTAAAAAACAGTATAAATTGACAAGTTTAATTGTTTTATTATACCTATAGACTAAACCTAATATTCAAACATACCTCTCATCTAACTTCTGAATTACTTCACAAATTACCAAATTATTTGAACAGTATATAGAATAGAGGTTGCTCTATCTAATTTTTTTTGTTACAACCTTGACAGTTTTGTACACGTGGCTGTGATTCTAAGTTTGTACTTGCGAAATATTACACTAATATGAAGAACATATTGTGTAATATTTTAGTCGATTATCTAATCAGATTTAAAGCCTGCTATGCTCCCACAAGCTTATTTGGATTATGCTTTGCCAAATAAATAATGATGGTGATACTGTTTACAGTATAGAGAATCAAAGGGATCATGTGTAAAAATTTCTTAATGTTAGATGTTTTTTTTATTTTTTTTTTTTACTTCTATTATTACATATAGTATTAGGTTAGATTTTATTCTATACAACATTATATAATTTATATAGCCTTGCATAGACAAAAATAGTGCCATCATGGCCATTCTTTTTTTAGTCTTTTTCTTCTTTTCTCTTTTTTTTCTTTTGTTTGTTTTTTTTTTTTTCCTTTTTTTTTAGTATTTCTTTTATTTTGTAAATTTTCCATTGTTCTTTGATAAAATTCTTCTATCTAGGAGGCTAGAAGAAGAAGGTTAGAAAAGAAAGCGGTTATGATAGGCTAATGAATTAGGTTGATGAACTAGAGTGGGTCAGCTTGATATAGGTTGAACTAAACTGGAGAGATTAAAATCATCTTTGGCAGGTCGCACACAGGTGCATGAATATTTAAGTATTGTTACTATTGTTAGGAGAGCAATTGCGAAGAAGCGATTCGATTTAGCTTCAATAGTAAACATGAAGGGTTATAAATATCGTTCGTTAAGGCTTAAGCACATGAGTTAAGGTCATGATTTTGGTAGATGAGAATCGGGTCCTTACTAAATTAATTCCGATTTGGATTATGCACGTAATTTAAAGATAACTTTAAGGGTATTTTAATAATGGCATTTGAGGTTAATAATGTTTATAACACAACAAGACATGTCTATATGTAGTAAACAGGTGGGTTGAGTATAGAGTAATAAGATCGTTTTAAGGATAATAATGGTGAGGACTTAATAGATAGGTCAGGGACTTAGACAACACGTAATAACAATTCAAGAAAAATAACAATACGAAGGAAATAAATAATAAAAATATAAGAAAAGAAAATAAAATGTAATAAATAAAAACGTTTAACAATAGCATTCAAAATGTATTTAATCAAGTGAGAATTTGACTCTTATTTTCAACTCATTAAAGACATCGAAGTCTGAAAGAATTTTATTAACGATAAAAAATGGTCCTTAAATACTTTTTCCTTTTTATTACATTACTGCGCAAAGACTTCTAATTCTCTTCTTTGTAACCTTTTCTGGCCCTATTTCATGGGTTGCAACAACCTGTGTGGAAAAAGCCTCCTATTACTCATAATTATCAACCCAAATATTCGCTACAACTCTTGTTCTAAATATTTACTACAATTCTTTATTATAAATATTTGCTACAATTTCCTATGATAAATATTTACTACAATTCTCAGCTTTCCAAGCTGGGTGATTCATTATTACAATAAATAAATACTAGATGATAATAAATAAACAATCTACTACGCCTCTCTAAACCCCATGTCACGGAACTCATAATATCCTCCCCTTCTTAACCTTGAGCTCCTGCTAAGGTTTCTTGAAGGAACTCTGAGAGTTCTTCAGCCCGAATTCCCCAGGCTTCTTCTATTAGCTTCTGAAAATCTTCTTTGGTTATTCTATACAAAGCATTGGCCATGATAAACTGGTTCTCAAGAAGATTATAAAATCCTCGAGCCTGATATAGTTGGTAAGCTCGGGTGGCAATCCTCCAAACTTCTTTTTCTTTAGTGTCTTTAATTCTTTTCTGGAGCTCATCTTAAACCACTGAGCTCCAGTCGATTTCTTTAGCATACCTAGCAGGTTCTTCCAAACAGTCTCCTAGGTAATAATATTGCTGTAGAAGACTCACTTGATCACACCCTTCTCCAAGGATCATTCACATAATATATCGAGCTTCTCACTCCAAGTTCCCTCAGGTACGGGTTCAGGGAGTCTGGTAGAGATAGCGGTATGCTTTAAGTCACTTAAGTAACCATTTATAGCCCGCGAGAAAGGATTAGCAATGACATCTTCAGAGAATAGAAGATGAGCGGGATCTCCTTGAGCATTTAAGAAAAATCTTTTCATGGCCATTATACGAACTTCGATCACGTCAGTACCTTTCATCATTCGTCTTAGCTTCATAACATGGTTTAAAAATTGGGCATTGACTTCTAATTGATTTATTGGGAAGATGGGTTGAGCAGAGTTAAGATTCAATCCAAGGTCAATTGACTGGGTATTTATAGAGAACGCAGTCTATTATTATAGGGGGGCATTATATCTTTTTAACTGGTTTCCATGAATCCTCTTCTTAAGAACTTGTTCACTTTTGATAAGCTTATTATTTAAAATGGGCTTTATCGTTCTTAATTTATAAGATCCATTGCCACATACTTCGTGTATGTAGTAGGGACCTGTAAACTTTGACTCAAGCTTGGCACTATATAATGTATCTAAAGAAGTCTCATACAGCATTACTTTATCACCAATTTGGTAAGTCTTGATCTGGTATTTCTAATCATTATGAGCCTTTTGTTTGTTTTGGGCTTTTCTAATATTTTCTTGGGCTTGGTTTCAAGCATTCTCCAGGTTTTCTAGAACAGACTCAATTTTTCGGAAAAGATAATTTTGGGTCTCAGCTTCAGTAGTTGGCTCAGCTGGATATGTTATTACAACTGTCTCGACCGGTAATATAGCATCGCGGTTATAGACTAAGAAAAAGAGCTCATACCGGGTAGTATAGTACCGGGTAGTTCGATAAGCGAACAAAGCTATTGAGATAAATTTGGTCTATTTCCCATCATATTGTCCAATATATTTGGCCAGTACTTCACATAAAGTCCTATTAAATCTTTCCACCAATCCATTGGTTTGGGGATGGTAAGTGGTGGACATGCGATGGCGAACTTTCATCTGTTTACAAATAGCATCCACTAGTTTATTACAAAAGTGAGTACCCTGATCAAAGAGTAGCTCACGGAGACTTCTGTGGTGGCATATTATATCATCCAAAAAGAAAGAGGCAACAGATTCAGCATCAGCACTTTTAAGTGCACAGGTCTCTGGCCACTTGGTAAGATAATTTGTGGCTACAACTATATAACGATATCCTTTTAGTGTTTTTGAAAGCAGACTTACAATATCGATGCCAATCTGATCAAAGAGCTGACCTACTTTTATCAGATACAATGGTTCTCGAGTCTTAGGTCTCCCTCATCTTTGACATGTGTCACAAGCTCCAATATATCATTTTACATCGTTCCCCATCTAGGGCCAATAATACCTAATTATTATTCATTGATAAGTTCCTTCATATCCAAAATGTCCGGCTAAGGGGTCGGCATGCATAGCATGTAGTATAGGTTTGATTTCATGAGGTTTTAGAACTCTTTGAGGCCTCTCAGAATCACGTGAGTTGATTTTATATAACAATTTACTTTGAACGAAATAATGCCGGGTTTTGTGTTTCAAGACTTTATCACTATAGTTAGGGGTACCTTAGACCTACTATATGATAGGCCTTTGGCCTGTAGCCTTAAATTCGAGATAAACTATCGGCGTTAAGATGTAATTTTCCTAACTTATGAATAGTGGTAAACGAATACTCCTGCAAGGTCAGGATCCACCTGGCCAGTCTGTTTTGGGGTAACCGGTGAGAAAATAACGATTTCAACACCGAATAGTCGGTATATAGGGTAAAATGAGATCTGTAAAGATAAGGCCTAAAGTATGAGACTGCCTAGACTATAGCAAAACATTCTTTCTTAGTGACAGCATAATTCCTTTCCGCTGGTGTTAAAGAATGGCTTGCATACGCCACAACTCTTTCCTTGTGGTTAGCATCCAGTTGCAAAAGTATGGCCTCTAAGGCTAGGTCTGAAGCGTCTGTGAAAAGAATAAACGATCTAGTGAAATCTGGATAAGCTAGTATAGGGGCGATTACCAATTTTTCCTTGAGCTTCTCAAATGCTTCTTGTTGCTTTGGTGTCCAACGATAAGCTACGTTCTTTTTTAACAAGGCATTTAGTGACCCGGCAATATTAGTGAAACCAGGAACAAATCGTCGGTAGTAGGATACCAACCCCAGAAACCCCCATAATTGCCTCAAGTTCCTCAGCGTAGGGAATTCTTGGACAGCCCGAATTTTATCAAGGTCTGTTGATATACCTTAGGCACTTACAACGTACTCTAGAAATTTAAGTTTCCTTTTACAAAGGAAACACTTTTGAGGCTTAATCTTTAAATTAGCCTTCCTTAATCTCTCTAATACCTCTCATAAATGGTCCAAATGTTCCTCAAAGGATTTGGAATAAACATTCAAGTTGTCAAGATATACGACGACAAACTTTCCAATTATATCACTAAAGATCTTATCCATCAACCTTTGGAAAGTTGCTGGGGCATTCATAAGACCGAAAGGCATTATGTTAAACTCAAAAATGCCTTGGGGAGAAATAAAAGCGGTCTTGGGTTTATCTTCTTTTAACATTTCGACTTGCCAGTATCCACTGGCAAGATCCAACGTAGTAAACCACGACGATCCATTTAAGGAGTCCAAAAGCTCATCTACTCTTGGTAATGGATAATTATCCATAATGGTGACAGCATTGAGTTTTCGGTAATCTATACAAAGACACATCTTTCGGGCCTTTTGTTTCACAAGAACTACAGGCGACATCCAGGGACTTTTGAAAGGTCTAATAATATTTTCAGCTAACATAGCTCTTACTTCTTTTTTTAAAAATTCTTTTTCGGCCGGGGAATATCGATATGGATGTTGTCTAATTGGCCAAACGTCTCTGGTGGGAATTTGATGACAAATAATGCTACTTCTTCCCAATTCATTAAGGCTTCGGGCACTGAGATCGGAGTACTCGTCTAGTAGTAGTCGTAGTTGACTTTGTCGATCTTCGTCCAAACTTCCAATCGTATATTCTATCCCTATTGGTCTTTTATTTTCATAATAATAATAAAAAAGGTCAGAAGTAGTCATAAATTCCTTCAACTGAAAATCTAAATACGTTACCGGTCATAGGCCTTGATAATTGTCATTTTCCTTATTTTCTTGATTCTTATCTTCTTCTTCCCACAATAATTCACTATCACTATAATCTATCCATTTTTCAAATTCTTTATTATCTCTCTTACTATTATCTTCTTCTATCAACTCTTCTATTTCTGAATAAGTGAACAGTTGTTCCTCCAATTCTTCATCTTCATATTCTTCACTTGAATCTTCTTCATTATCGTCTTCGTCATTCTCATTTCTAATTTCTTTAACTACTACTAGCTGTTCCTTATTCAATGGAACTCTAGACATTTTTCTAAATTCGACAGGAATCGTGATTTCCTTATTGTCCCAAAAAACAGTCATTTCGGATGAATTCAAGTCGATGGCTGCGTTTACTTTAGCAAGCCAATTGTTTCCAACAATCGCATAGTAGGAGTTGGCATCAGTTACAATTACATCAATAGGGATTTCAATCTCTCCGATATTGAATGGGAAATTTGAAATTTCACCAATGGCCCGTTTACTTCCCCATAGATATTGATCATATTCATCACTAAAGGCCTTTCAATCTGAATTTCTAACTCATTAAGTAAATAAGACGCGACAACACTCCCAGATGATCCACTATCAACTATGAGGAGAATGTTTTTACATTGAATAGCGGTATCACAATACAAGGCAGTCGACTTCAACATAGACTGCACATTAACATTACCCTGAATCCTTCTTTTGATAATGGTCCTTTTCTTTTGCAAGGATCAAGTTAATTCTTGCCGCATATTAGGCACAGCTCTTAACAATTGGCTATACGTAATATTGGCAGCTTTATCCCTTATATCTGCAACTATGGAATAGGAGGTGACCAAAGAGGAGATTTGGGGCAGTTCTTCTTCTACATTTTTTTTCTTTTGAACCGGAGCTCGTTTTGGCGATGCCTTTAGACTATTCTTTTTACTCAGCTCTGTTTTAGGTGATAGTTCAGGGTCTTTATCTCAATCCCTTTGGACGTCAGCCATGTCTTCATCTGGGTCTTTTACTCCTTCAGTTTCTACTAATTCTGTGGAAGTGCCCAGAACTTGTCTGTTCTTTTTTCGGAGGATTGGAGTGTTAATGATGAGTCTCTTGTGGACTTGTCATTCTGCCGGGAGGAATAAAGCTTCATCACCCTCTGGTATACCCAGATATGAGACTGATTCTGAGAGCTATCAGAATTATTATTTAATATGGCCAATAAGGCCTGAAGGGCATCTTGAGAGCTCAAACCATTGGGCATTCTGGACAGGAGTTGTTTGAGCAGGAGTAGTTTGAGGTGGGGTAGTTGGTACCACAGAGTTATTATTAATAGGGGCTAATAAATTAGAACATTGTCGAGCTATATGGCCAGGACATTCACAATTATAGCAAACTATTTCCTAGGTTTGGTTTGTGGGTGCTCCCGGTTGTCGGGGTCGGAAAGGCCTTCTGGGCTTTTGTCGTTGGGCCATCATCCTATTTATAGCTTCAGTCAGTCGATTCAGAGCATCTTCGGTCCCATTTACACCAGTATTTGGTGTTGGTATTGTTCTAATAATACCAGGGAAACTGTAAGAGGGATGGGCTACAGGCTGTCCCAAAAGAGCAGTGTAGGTGGAGCTTTGCTTGTAGGTGTTTTCATATGCCTTTGCTCTAGAATATGCATCTTCAAGGGTATTAGGGGTCAACAGAGATACAGCTATGAAAAGTTCAGGACAGAGCCCATTAATAAACATTTGGGCTTTAGCTGTATCAGGATATTGATGTCCTCCGGATTCTACTCGTCAAATCATTTCTTCTAGGACAATGTGATAATTGTCCACACTTTCTCCCGGTAGTTGTTTTCTTTGTGTCAACTGAGCAAACCATTTCCCCTCCAAATCTGGGGTTCGAAATTTAGCCACGAAGTGGGTAATAAAACTTTGTTGAGGTACCAACAGATCACGCCATTTGTCAATGACAGGCTGTTGGTTTCTTCGAGTTGCCCACCAAGTCGCAGCTGGGCCTTTAAGCTTCGGAATAATCACTGAGATTTTCCAAAGAGGAGGTATAAGATTGGCTTCAAAAGCCTTCTCAACATCCTCCAGCCAGGTTATCGGATCCTGGTCTCCTCCATAGAACTCCGGATATGGTATAGTGTTAAGTTCTCAGAGATTTCAAGCGACATTAATTTGCGGCGGCTGAGTGAGTTGCATTGGCTGGATTAAAGCAGCAATCTGGTTTGCCAAATTGTGCATCAGATTGTTTAGATTAAGAATGGGTTGTTGGGGTTGTGGAGGTTGTTGAGGTGGTTGAGCCATCTGTAAATGTATAGTATAAATATATATAATGGATTAAAATTTTCTTCTTTATTGTTTAGCTCCACACAATCGGCACCAAATGTTACTATTGTTGGGAGAGCAATTGCTGAGAAGCAATTCGATTTAGCTCTAATAGTAAATGTGAAGAGTTATAAATATCGTTCGTTAAGGCTTAAGCACGTGAGTTAAGGTCACGATTTTGTAGACAAGGATCGGGTACTTACTAAATTAATCCCGATTTGGATTATGCACGTAATTTAAGGATAACTTTAAGAGTATTTTAGTAATGGCGTTTGAGGTTAATAATGTTTATGACACAACAAGATGTGTCTATATGTAGTAAACGGATGGGTTGAGTATAGAGTAATAAGATCATTTTAAGGATAATAATGGTGAGGACTTAATAGATAGGTTAGGGACTTAGACAACACATAATAACAATTCAAGAAAAATAACAATACGAAGGAAATAAATAATAAAAATATAAGAAAATAAAATAAAATGTAATAAATAAAAACATTTAACAATAGCATTCAACATGTATTTAATCAAGTGAGAATTCAACTCTTATT